TTGTCATATAACCGCTATAAAAAATGTGGAAAAAAAAAACAAATAACGTATTTCTACTTATGCCTGACTTCATATTACTAACTTGGTATACTGTACTGAATTTACGAGTATATATTACTATAAGATTTACAAATACTAAAACTGTTACAAATATTATCAAAATCTTTCCATGTTTATTCATGTTTATGAATCGAATCTTATGAAAATTAACTCTAATTGTCATAATATATATTTTTTTAATTTAATTCACTCATAATCTTATTTTCTGATATTGCTCACAACTTAGATTACATGTTTATTTTTGTTATTTACTTAAATTTCTTACACTGTATAACTATGTAAAAATAAATGCTGTGAATACCTATAATAGGCGTGTGCATTAATATTGTATTGTATTTAATGTTTGTTATACCTATATGTTATAATGCAATATGCTGTTGGTGTTCCCTAAATAAATAAATAAATGTTTCACTTTTCTTTAAAAATCTCATCCATTATTTAATTTCTTCAAAATTTCGCAAACCAATATTTTGTCCACAAAATTGCAAAAACGAAATGCCCTATATGGCAACATTGAAAAATTAGATTATATATATTAGAATTGGAATAAGCATCAATATGTAGCTACATATAACAAACATCACACAACGAACACAGGCCGTTCTCTCACGGAACGTGTTAGGTAAATGCGTTCCAAACATTTTGTGATTCGAGATTTACATCTGTGGAGTGGAAAAAGTTTAGATACATCTCACAAGTTTAATTGATTCCCGTGGTATTCCCACGTACTTTGCACACTCTGTTTGCAGGTCTTCGCAATTTTGGCAAGTAAATTAACTCAGAGTCAATTAAGTATCTAATCACACTCATATAAGACATTATATATTCAATATTTTCTAGAGAAACATATGTACATATAAATAAATATGTATACATTATTATATATCATTGGATATAGTTATTGCATTAAATTTTTAAAACCGTGCCTGTTGAGTTCCTTGAGAATTTTAACCTATAAACATATAAGAACATACCGAACCCAATTGTAAATTGTGATTAAATATATTCGAATTAGAGATTATTTCTATTCTATTCATAGGTTTATCTCAACGCTCCCAGGTTTAGTAAAATAAATACGAAAGTCGCTAGATAAGATTTATGGAGACAACCTTTAAATCTCTTGAGAGAAGTGGCTTAAGAACAATAACATCTTCGGTATTTACGAAATAAAGACATGGAAATAAAACATTTTAACGTTCCGCAGAGACTATGTGTAATCACAAACAGTAGAAACTTAACGAATGGGCTCCCATATGATTGTTTATGGAGATATAACAATAGAATATGATTAATTATACTTTAAACATAATAATATAAATATTTAAAACTATTTTCGGAGGCTCTATTCGCGATTAATTCCCTATTTCCGCAGGGGCGTCTTGAAAACTTATTTACTAAGTCTTTGCCCAGCTTCAAGTTATAGCAAATAGTTTTTGAAATTTTCTAATTGATCTTGTCTTGACTTCTATTATCTATATAATAAAAAATATAATACATAATCAATCCATTGGCCTGAATTCGTAAATAGACCTGCGTAAAAATGGAGTTAGGATACAGCGTGTCATTTTTTATCCCCGAAATGTTATGAAAGGCGACTAAGGTAGTATTATGTACCAATGCAAAAGAGAGCAAAATCGAAACAAGAATCCATTCCAAACTTCCTGTATAGCGTATTAACAGTATTATGGATTAAAATGTTTCTTTTCTGAGGAGAAATCTATGACTAGCAGTGGGATTTTAATAAAATGTTAAGGTAAAACAAGAAACAACTTTTCCCAAGGAATAAAAAATATCTTTTGCAATCTTTCAGATTAAATTGATTACGTAACCGAACAGTTTCTACAAAAGTAAAAAAATATATACATTTTTATATTTTACACGTAATATTGAGTAAAAGTTAAAAGAGATTTCACTTTGTATACTCTCTCGTTAAACCCTATAAAAATAGATTAGTTTAATTGTATAATACAGACTCGTTCCTCTAGCATTAACTAAAGGACCAGATTATTGCTTGTTATTATTTTATAAGACCGTTGGATGTACTAACTTCATTATAATTTAGGATAACAATGGCAAACGTTTAACTGTAAACACGAGTACTCACTGTACCCTAAGGGCTAATATAGATATATGGCTTGAACCTAAAAGTTACAGAGAAGCAGAAAAGTCAAATAAAAATTATAAGTACTATTTCATTTCACTTGAATATTCGCAAATATTTAACTTTTTATTCTTCTGATTAACAACTGTTGATTTTTAGAACCGTTCCACAATTACGGCAATCATGCGAAAAATCCTCTTCGTTTATCTATCAAGAAATTCCAAGTGACACAGTACATCTGAATTCCAACCCACCCACGGCCCTGACTTCTGTTTTCACTCAATTTAGCTGTGTACTTTGCATCATCAATCTTGCACTGTTCATTTGCTCTACATGTGCGATCCTTTAAAACATTTTTCTCATGTTCCCAACAAACATTAAGGAAATTCACGAGTATTGAAGTGACCGAATCTGAGCAGCTTCAAATATGGTAATGAAAAACCGTTTAGCACTATAATTTACGGTCCTCGTTGCGGTGGACGTTTTTTAATAATTAAATCTTTGTTGAGGAAGCATAAAATAGGGGGTATTTTAAAATTTTTAACATAATAGCATCTGGCAACAATCCGGAATGCGCGGGACATAAACGATGAGAAGGCGGGTCCTTCGCCCGCCAGCCTCTTCGCTTTTATTGCAGGCATAAAGCAAGTTTATTGCTCGCTTATCAGATGCTGAAATCAAGAAGTTTGCCCGTATACCCTACGCATTCGCCGAACCACGTCTGATAGCACACAATACCATTAAAAATATCCATTCGAAATATCTCATCTATTGTAGTAAAACAACTAACTGACTTGAATACTTAAGCATGCACAATCATAAAAATGTTTTCTGTGTAAGTAAACATAATTACAAGAAAGTTTTGTTTTATTTAGAAGATATAGGAACTTGGTAAACATGGAAAAGGGCATAAGTAACAGTATAGGAGTCCCGAAGAGCTTGGAAGCTCGGTACTTGAGATGAACAGTTAGTGAAGCGTTAAATTGACGAGATCGCGTAGTGACGCGTTAATGTATGAGACCTTTTTTAACAGCGTCAATCATTAGATCAGTATGTCAATGGTCTTAATGAATATAAATACAATAAACATGTATAAATTATAAAACAAAGTCACGTTTAGATTCAATAGAGTAATAGTCTAGTACCGTCTCATGTACACAGTTAACAGTAACATCAATCAAATATTTACTTTATCAAAGTTCAATTAGTGTTTGGGTTTAATTGAGTTAAGACTTCTAACTGTACCCGTATATTGTTATCTGTATCTTTAGTATGGTAACTCACTGTCTCTCTATTAATATAAAAAGACTTAGATATGCCAAAATTACAAGTAATAGATAAAGGTGCAATGCAAGTGTTGACCACGCCCAACTACAAAACTAAAAGTATATAACCGCGTATACATTGCAAACTTTGAAAACTTTATTTGAAAATGCTTCTACCTGCAGGTATGCAATTTAACAAAGCTATGATTATCAGTTACAGAAAGCTCGGTTGCTGTGTAGAATCAGTTGTGGTCATGATTGATATTACGAACATCGCTGATTGCTGTAATGACCATTATGTATTGCCACTCCTAAAATTTCTCTCTTTAGTGCAATTTAATTAAAAAACCGATTATTATCAACTTCTAGAAGAAATGATAAGAAAATATTTCGTAATTTAACACGTAATTCTTATTTTCAATTACCCATACATATTTGTTATATTGGTTTAACCAAATCGTAACCTTTATTTTTAAATTCAATCCAACATGCTTAATTTAACAGAGTACCCTTTTAGTTGCCAATTTCGCTTGGAAATTTAATCCTCTTATAAAAGTTACAGGGTAGCCGCGTTTTTGTAATAAACCCGAAACAGCAAAAACGAAATCCCAGGATGTCGACAAAAAGTTAGTGTTTCGACCAACGTTATGTTTGATCATTAGCGTTGTGTTTAAAACAAAACACAGTCCGTCTAAAGTTAGGTAAAACTTATTGCAGATGTAATAAAAAAAAAATTACTTTTTTAATAAGTCAACCTAATTTTTCACAACCAGTTGTCTTCAGCATTGATATTAATTAGAGCTTCGTTCCGAATAAAGCAAAGCTACTAAGTTTATCCTACGTAATTAATGCGCCTCATACGCACCCGAACCGATGTTAATTATTATTAATTATAGTAGCACTATGCGACATTCCCGTTAACTAACATCTGCTAAATGTTCAGCTTAATATTAATTATGTGACGACAAATTAGTTCAGCGATACCTCTAATGCTAAGATTACTGATACGTCTCAAGTTTGCTTCCTCAATTATTTACCCGCAAATATCAACGGAAAATGTATATTATGACAGTATCAAAATCGAGATGGAATCCAATTTAATTTCATTGACATTCTGATAAATGACTTCCTTTTTTCAAAAGGCCTCGACTGTACTCGAGTTTTATCTCTCTGAAAGGTTGAAGGTTGTTTTATGCATTTATTTGAAGGGACAGAAAATCACGAGCAAAACAATCTAAGCTTGTGAGTGTGGGTCAAGTAGTTTAGTAGTACGTTCGAGTTGAAAGCAGTGTCGTTTGGAATATTAAAGGGCTGCTTATCCGCGGGGCTTCACAATGCGCACACCCTTCATTTATACGTTAATCTGTGCTCGTATCATATTCACATAATCCTCGTTGAAGGTCGCGCCCATTCAAGAAGGGATCGAGGTGAACTTCTCAAATTAAACATTAAATGCGTGAAGCTCTGCCTCGGCTCGTTCGTCTTTATAACTCGTTAAGCAGTGACAGGGATGAGACTTATTAATGTTAGGAGCATACTGGCACAAGGGCCACTAAATATTACATGCGACCCACCTGGAGCGGTGCCGGCTCTCCGAGGTAGCCCCGATCTATTATTCACTCGACGACACTAGCATACATTTCCGAAAATTCACCATAGCACAGTATCGAGAGCACTTCACGTCACACCTGTCCCGAGCCACAAAGCGCGTTATATCGTTGAGGTTAAATTGAATTCTATTGTAAAGCAAACACGGCGGTACGGTGAGCGGCCGGGAGAGCGGAGATATTCCCGAGCGCCGTAAGGGTTGAGGGTGCGTCGCGAGAGGACGTACTCCGTGCAAGATGGCCGGCGGGCGCCGCGCGACTGGCAGGCTGGCTCGCGACCGTATCGCCGAGCTCGCGCCCGCGCTCACGCTTCACGCTCCACGCTCCACGCTTGCCGTATGACGTGAAAGCCCGTTTGCAACCTGGTTTTTCGTAGCATGGCCTAAGGCCGATTGTTGAACACACAATGCACCTTGGAAAATTTACAGTTCTTCATAGCAGGGTTAGAAACAATAAAAAATATCAATGTATATGTTTGTACAATTCTCGTTATTAGAGTTAGTATAGAGAGGCAGATGATTTCAGATTATGATAAATACAAAATTAATAAATAAATATCAATGTGGTATGATTGACAGGAATTTGTATTACTGCCGTGTGACCAGAATGCAAATGGACTGTGGCCTTGTTCATCTTAATTTCTTCGAGTAAACCACATGATCTACCAGGAAATAAACAAACTACTTCCTTTACCTATGCATATTAATATTACTGATACTTGGGTAGTGTCTCAATTAGGGAGGAAAGGGATTGTTAGTAATGGAGACTGAGAATCCCATTGCTAGCAATATACCCAACCAGGTCGACCTCCTCGCGGTTCCCCGTGGAAACTATCATCGTTAATTCCTGATGAATTCATCATGATGGGCTAACTGGCCTGTTTTCATTCTCATCTGTCACCCTTCACTAGTGCTCCGCCAGCGTATCCCGTTAGCGCAGGCGGGGTTACCATACCATTTTCACCATGACATTTTTATTATCCTGATTAGTGAGTACTTCAGTTATTAATATAAGACTGTTTAAAAAAAATATCGAAATATACTTTCCATTTATTATGGGAAACTATCATCAGAGGGAGACTTTGTACAAAAGTCGATTGCTTGAGTACCTCTGTCCCATTCGTGTTTCAACCGTGAAGCAGTTGTATTTGCATGGCTATGCTTCGGTTTGAAGAGTGGGATATGGCGTGGATTTACTGGATACGGAGGAATAACACCTGCGTCCTCAGGAATGGCAACGCATGGGGAGTATCATGGGCGAAACAGTATGCTCTGTTACGTCCATGGTACTGCTCATGTCTATAGGCGACGGTTACCACTTTCCATCAGATGGGCCGTCAGCTTGTTTGCCATTCTAAGTTACATAAAAAAAATGTTATTAATGATATAAAAGCCCATCGTTGTCGCTGACAATGTAACTTTGGAATTCTTACAATCGTTTAAGTATTTCTCAAATATATCCATTATAAATAAAAAAACCTAATGTTTTCTTTTTATAATATTGGTTTAGATGAATAGTAATGCAATATAAAGTAATTATCCATTAGCCTGAGTGGTAATGGTTGCACGGTAAAAGGCTTTATGTGGTTAATGGCAGGGCCTTTTACGTCTTTTCTTCAGATTCTTGAACTGAAATGAAGAAAAATAAACATTTTGAATTTGTACTGTGCGATAAATTACATAGATTTATTTATTTATTTATTTTTATACTTCATTGCACCATTTACAAAATATTAAATACAATTATTTTTAATAAAAAGCGATAAAAAAGGCAGCATTATCGCTAAGCAATTTCTTCCAGACAAAGTTTGGGTAGAGAACATTGTGAAAAAAGACAAAGGGTAGGTGGTCCCACTATTATATATAAACTAATATATGTATATGGGGGGAAAGGGATTGTCAGTAATGGAGACTGAGAATCCCATTGCTAGCAATATACCCAGCCAGGTCAACCTCCTCGCGGTTCCCCCTGGAAACTAACATGGTTAATTCCTGATGAATTCATCATGATGGACTAACTGGCCTGTTTTCATTCTCATCTACCACCCTTCACTGGTGCTCCGCCAGCGAATCCCGTTAGCGCAGGCGGGGTTACCGTTAGCATACCATTTTCACCCATAAAAAAAAATATGTATATACATACATATAAACAAATATATACATAAATATACACATATTTAATAGCACTCATACAACAGGAGGGAATGAAAGTGGAAGATTAAGAGAAACATAGGAAAATTGTACTAAAAGGGAGAGGTAGTAAGTAGAACTAGAGATTTAGAAGCTAGCGACAGTATGAGCGCACCAAAATATATTACATATATATAGTGGACTCAAATATAAAACATACATCCGTGTGATCCCGGCATAGAATAGGCCACCCCTTCCTTTCAGCGTCCCTCTTAAAACATCTTTAAAACCTAACTGCGCTTGCCAATCCACCTGCCAGGCATGGCAACTGCTGGCAAAACCCCCAAAGGGGAGACTTATGTTCAGCAGTGGACAGTTAAAGGCTGATATGAATGTATGTATATAATATGTAATAACAATATTTATACATATTTTAGTACTAAATGCACCGCCTACTTAATTTTCTGCTTGTCGATCATGAGGTCGACTAATAGAGAACGCTATTAGGTGTTAAATCCGTCATATATACACTTACTTATAATTAGGCATTGAAATTTAAATAAATAAATAAATAATAACCGATATAAAAAATTAAGAAATAAATGCCACACAATCGCCAAACTCAAACGCCTGATCCTCAGTCTAGGATAGCCTCTGTCATGAGGGACCAGGTAACGAACTGCTTTGGAGACACAATCCAGTTTCAACCGTGAAGAATCAGTTGTGTTTGCATGGCAGTGTTTCAGTTTAAAGGGTGGGATATGGCGTGAATTTACTGGGTACAGAGGAATAACACCTGAGTCCTCAGAAATAGTAACGCATGGAGGGTATCATGGGCGAAACAGTATACTAAGTTATATCCATGGGACTGCTCGTGTCTATAGGCGACGGTTATCACTTTCCATCAGGTGGGCTGTCTACTTGTTTGCCATTCTAAGTTGCATAAAAAAAGATAAGTTGATTTCCCAAATTGGCCCGATCGGGAATTGAAACTGGGCCTTCATTTACGCAAAACAACGTGCTTTCAACTACACTAAGAAACTAGGGTTTAATATTCATGAAATAACTGCATTCTACGTTGCATAACGCCACTGACCACAAACCAAACACAATGTATGTACTAATTAAATCACGTACTAATTAGATAGACACTCATTACTGGGTTCGCTCCTTGCCTCGTTGGATTCGCACACGTTTGGCCAAATGGTAAAGTTGAATGTATTCTACAAATCAAACCTAATTGATTATTCACGTGTACAAGTATCTATTATAGAGTCAATGTCAACCGTACAGCCCAGTGTACAATGTGGTTTCAACAGAGAACTCCACTGTTGATGTTTTAGAAACAAGTACAAATTGTATTTACAAATTAACGGCATAGTTTAGTGCTAATTATGCGATTGTCAATTTTACAGAGGAGTTATTTAACGGGTTCAAGTTTACAATTGAATGTAGAATAGCCTGAAAATGTTTAATTTTAAAAAATAATAGAATAGATTTCAAAGATATATCGTTTATATAAACCTATTATATATAATACCGAATTTTATTATCATTTCTTGAGCTATCTATTTATTTGCCGATAAATTGTATTTTACAGTTTGGCGATTTATATATATATATATATATATATATATATATATATATATATATATATATATATATATATATATATAGTATGGTCCCTAACCACCTGCATCCACTGACTCCCTGTAATGCATTTCAGGTCGTCGCTCCATCTAGTGAGAGGTCGTGCTACACTGCGTTTACCTGTACGCGGTCGCCACTCAAGAACCTTTCTACCCCATCGGTTGTCGGTTCTTCGAGCTATGTGACCAGCCCATTGCCACTTCAGCTTATTATACCTAGTATTAAATATTCGTACACCAACATTGACTTTGGCAACAATTTGTTAAATTCAAAGTTCGCCTAGGAGCGAATCAAATAGCGAAAATAGCCAGTAGATATTAAAGTCAAAGCCTTCTATGTATTGAGAAATAAAATACCATTCAACAATTTTCTAGTATTCTAGAATTTCTCACCCGGTGTTCAGTTGCATATTGAATTTTACTTGCACAAAGGCATGCAATATGATCGCCTCGCCGGGCAAATCAACGGGGCTTCGGAACTCCTCGTCTTATCTATCCATTATGAGCAATCTCTTTAAAAATATAAAAGCCATTCCGACTGTTTGAATTGTCTTCAAATGGCAATTTGGTCCGCTAATTTCCCCCCCACCACAGCCCGAATGCGTACCCTCAATTTACGAGAAACGAACTCGGTTTAACTCGAAGCTTCATAGAAGTTATGGCACGAACATTTCACCAATGAATTTATGGGACGGTGCAGTGCCAAAAGGCCAAGTCAATGCCTGTAGTGGATTTGCTCTAATTTGTGACTTTAAATTACAGTATTTATTTTATTGTCTTTATATTATATTTGTTTATTCTTTATTAGTGATAGAGTTCACTTAGAGTATACTCGTATTTGTTACTTTATTCAAAAACATACATCGACAACATTTTTTTACAATATAGGGGGCAAACGAGCATGCGGCTCACCTGGTGATAAGTGACTACCGTCGCCCATGACCGCACACAACACCAGCGGCATTGCACGTGTGCTGCCGGCCTTTTAAAAAGAAATATGCTCTTTTCTTGAAGGTTATGATGTCGTATCGGTTCGAAAATACTGCTGCTGGTTGTTGATGTTGATTCCAAATAGTAGTTGTGCGTGGGAGAAAGTGCCTTGAAAAACGCACGGTGCACACCACTCGTCCAGATGGTTGGGATGAAATTTAAATTTATGGCAGGTTATAGGTACGGTGGTGGAAACAGCAGCAAGTATCAACATGAACAAATCCTCAGAACACTCCCCATGATACATTCGGTAGAAGATGCACAGAGATGCAACATCTCTACGCAGTTTCAGTGAGTCGAGTCGGAAAGTAAGGCGCTGATTATCAATAATTTGAGTCGCCTGAGTTTGAATGCGGTCTAATGGAAGGAGCATGTGGTAAAACTATCCATCCCATGTGGTCCCGGCATAGAATAGGCCACCCCTTCCTTTCCCGTGGGTGTCGTAAGAGGCGACTAAGGAAGAACGAGGGATGGGTAGCAGCGTCCCTCT